CCCTGAAGTCTAACAGGAGAATGAAGAGGAGGAGGAACTGGAAATATCAGGAACAACTTGGAAGGTTTCTCTAGAGTCTCAATGAAAGCTGCAAGAGTGGTTCTCTAGGCTGTTACTGATGGCTAAGAAAGGTCGTACGAAGGGCGAGAAGCCTGAAGCCCTGATTTCTGCCTTACAAGCAGCCAATGAAGATCTCAGGTCCAAACTAACTGACATCCAGATAGAGCTGCACCAAGAGAAATGCAAGGTACAGTCAAAAATACACCAAGCTCTACATCTTAATGTGACTTATTTTACTTTTCTAAAGGAAAGAAAGATTTAAAATTGTCCAATAAATTTCTCTTTGCTGCTTCAGGTAAGCAAGCTGGAACGAGACAAGGTGCAAGAGGTGAAGCGGGTGCGAGAGCAGGAGCAGCATCGGCACACTGCCATGTTGACAGAGCAACGGGCCAAATGGCACGAGGAGAAACAGAAAGAGCTGCAGGCTCTGAGGGAAAACCTGACACGGCAGCATGAGCAGGAGCTGGCCCGGCATGCCAAGATCAAGGACCAGGAGAACCAACGGCTCAAAGCCGCCCTGAACGCCATTCGAGATGGCAGTGGAGAAAAAGTGAGTTTATATACCAACATTCTTCAAGTTTTACTTTTTAAAGATGCACAACTATATGGATCTTATGTGAAAGAAAGAATAATAAATATAAGGCTTCAAAGACATATTGTGATTTATTGAGGGAGAAGGAGAAGTGCTGTCACCCTAGTATTCCCCGACTCCAGCTTCATTTGTTCCTTTGATATAAAACTGTTTACATACAAGATTATTTTATTGGAGGGTGAAGAAAAATCCGTCCTCCTCACTTGTCTAATTTTTCAAATCTCACAAAATTAGACAAAAATTTGGCAAACTTTTGCTGCCAGAACTGAGAAGTTTTAGGAGAATTCAAAAAAACTCACTTGGGCATTTTGTGTGCTGGGAGCATGTGACCAAACATCAAGTTTACATCAATTACAAAGATCTTCATTTTGTGAAGAAAAATTGTTTTCATCATCCATTTACTGTAGTGGCTTTGTTTTTGATTGGCATAACTCCAAAAGCTCAGATTGCATCTAGAAGGGGGATTTTAAACTGTATCTGCTGAACAAGTAAAAAATAAATATAAAAAGACATAAAAGATAGCAGCCATTAGAAAACAAAAACCAAATCCTTTTTTTAATGAAACATTTTTCATTCTTCTTCAGGTGCGCACAGCGCTGACCCTGGAAGCCAGAGAGGAGGCACGGCGTTTCTTCGACCAGGAGAGAGTGAAGCTCCTGCAGGAGATAGTCGAGCTGAAGAACTCCAAGAAGCAGACCGACGAGGCTCTGAGCAACATGATCCAGGCAGACAAAATGAAGGCCGGAGACCTGAGAGTCGAGCATCAGCAGCATCAGGAACAAATCTCTAAAATCAAGTGGGACTGTGAGAGAGACATCCGCAGGCTGGTATGCACTGACTGTGATTTAGTAAATAAAAAAAGCCAGGAATGAGTCAAGTGATTCAGTTTCCATCAATTCATGTGAGTCAGTCCAGATATGTAAGCCGGCTCTGAGCCTGCAGTTTCCCAGAATGATCTTCTCCAGGTTTATGTGATTCCTACTTATGTTTGAAGCATTTTGTATCATGATATTCTATCATGATGGGTTACATTGATTTATATTCTATTTATATTCTATGATGTTTTCAATCACATTATTCATATGTTACATAAAACTCCTTCCACTCAATAATTTCATTTTCTCTCACAAAAGGTGGATGAAATCAAATCTAAAGACCGCACCATTTTCTCTCTGGAGAAGGAGCTGGAGTCCACTGCAGGCTGCCTGCAGAAGCTGCAGCTGCAGAAAGACGCCCTGGATGAACAACTGTTCCTCGTCAAAGAGGCGGAGTGCGGCCTGGGAAGTCCAAAAAGGGAAATCCCAGGAAGAGCTGGCGATGGCGCAGAGCACTGTGGAAGCCCTGTAAGCAGAAAAGTTCAGTTTTAGAATTTTAATAAATAGCTGACTTACTGTTGATATAATCAAAAACAAACTGATCTCAATTGGCTTTATGGAAACAAGAGATTCAATTATTTAATACCACAAAGAAAACACAAGAATACCATAGAATAGAATACCACACACCTGAGAACACCATAGTATTCTTGTGGTTCTGTTTATATCTAAACACATTAAACCCAAAGGAATATATATCCCTGTCTTATTTAGGCTTAGTATAATCTTTTAATTTTGCCTCTATGATCTTCTGACAGGAAGTAATATTAACATTTTAAACCAGATTCTGATGGAGACGCTGAGAAGGAGCCAAAAGTTCACAGTGAGGGCAACGAGTCCTTTCAACATGTGGACTTCATCACCAAATGAAGTTCATAAAATACAGTGAAAACATGCAAAAAGCTGCTCTGTAAAGTAATCAGGTCTGCAGCTGAAACGCAGACAAAGTCAGTTTTAAGACCAGTGGTGTTTTCTGATTGTATCTTCTACTTCTTTACCTACTTCCACCCCATAAGGAAAACAGAGAGGAAAGACTATTTGTAGGTTATTTTTCACTTAAATCCATCATTAAACAAGAACAGCATGGAGGATTTAGCTTTTAAATATGAGGCAGTTTCTAGGGATTATTTTCTGTTTTACACTGCAGCCTGAAACGTTTGTGTTTAATCAGGTCATATGTGATGGACCAACACATAACACCTGAGTCATCACTGCAATAACAGCTGCAAATCTTTTTGTATAGCGCTAACAGTTCCTCACATCTGGAGGATGAAAATTCAGCTAGTTTTTTATGTAAGTCTTATTTTTGGGTTGTAAGGATGGAGGTGCTGAATTTAAATCTACTTTTCACACATTTATTTTAAAAATGATCTGGCTCATGTGTCTCTTTCACACAACATTGAAATTATCTGTAACATGAAGCCCTCATGAAATGCATTAAAGTTTGAGGTTGCATAGTAGCAAATGTGAAGTATTGAAGATTTCAGAAAATCCCTGTTTCTTCAACATATCAGTTCCTTAATTTGAACTTCAGTGGAATCTGATGAGGTGGTTTTGCTCCAATAGAATTAAATTCAGATTATGAAAAAACAAAATCCTCATTAAATCTGTGCTTTTTTGTTGTTTCAGGACCTGCGAAGAAATCAGCGGCGAATGGCTGAACTGAATTCAACCATTCGCAAGTTGGAGGATCGCAACTTGTTGCTGGTGGATGAAAGAAATGAACTAGTATGAATAAACAGTCAATTTTGTTTTAAAACATGAATTATAGAGTTTTGTTCTCACAAACACATTACTCTAAATTTTTCATAATGTTGGTAAGGGAAGATGAACGAAATCGTGCATATTTATTATATGCCATAAAACTATACATGGATATTTTATTAGATGTTTTTATTACTTTCCTACATCAGGATGCCATGACAATTTGAAGTTATGATGGCTCAGTTCACAACATTTGGGGCAGAAATGTGAATTCCTTTCTGGGTAGCGCCTCACACAACTTTCTTATATAATATTTCAGAAAAATCAAAATAAATCAATCAATGTGTAAAGAAGAGAATTTCGACCTGGTTCATCATCAGGCACAAAGTCCAGATGTCCAAAGGTTCCACATTCAGCTGTTATATCATTAAGGCGGGATCACTTCAGAAACATAATGGGATCAATAATAAAGAACGATACATGAAAATACAGAGGAAACTTCTTCAATCAACTAGGAAGTTAAAGCTGGAGTACAAATGTGTCTTTAATGTGAACAACAATTCAAAGTTTCTAAAAATTGCTAAATATACTGGCAGTTTGCAAATTGTACAGATTTTGGTCATTTTAAATGATACTGAACAGGGAAACTAACTAACCTGTTTGCTGTGCCACATGTCTGACCACTGGTTTTGTTTCTAACAGCTGAAGCGAGTTAGGGAGTCTGAAAAGCAGTGCAAGCCTCTACTGGACAAGAACAAGCTGCTGAATAAGAGGAACGACGACTTGACTCAGAACATTCAGAAACTGGAGGAGAAGCTGAAGAGCCTGACAAAGGAGAACCTTGAAATGGTCAGCAAGGTCACATCACCGTCACAGTGATCATATTGGCTGATCAGCAGGTGCACACAGTGACCTTTGTTATTGCTGTGTGTGCAGAAGGAGAGGATAGGCTCCCATCCTCCTCTGAAGAAGCTGAAGTCCCTTAATGACTTGGACCAAGCACATGATGACCAGGAAATAGCCTTCCTCAAACTTCAAGTGCTGGAGCAACAAAGCATGATTGATGAACTAACAAGAGTGCGTTTACGCTGTCTGTCTGTCAAAATGTCTTTTTTTCCCACAAACCAAAATACAGCTGAGTAATAAAATATCATTTTCATTTACTAAAATCCCTCATAATTCTTTGTTTTTATTTTTTTATTGACATAGAATCGGTCAGATGAGGTAACTTATTGCCAAATTTTTTGAAATTTTCTGAAGTTTTTCCAGCTTAAATGTTTTCCTGCAAGTGTCCAGAATACAAACTTCTTAAAGTATAGCACAGCAATTTATGAGTGATAAAGCATTGCTTTTATATTGATCACATGTCTCATCAATCATTCAGTGTTCAGCAGTTCATGCAACTATTGCATTGATGTAACTGTATTTGTTCTGTCATCTGTTCCTGTTTCCAGGATCGTGAAAAACTGCTGCGAAAGAAGAGGCATAAAAGAAGTTCTCGACCAGTGAAGGTTGCAAATTATTATTATTATTTTTTATCAAAAAGGATAATAATATATCAGTATTTTTAGCAGTGCATTGGTCTTTTCATGCTAAATGTTTCAATCAACTATTGGGAAATTCTCTAAAACATTGACTGCAAAGCAAACTGTTGGAAAAACGCAGCTGTGTTTCTGTGCAGAGACACATTGTAGTAGACACCTTCTTTGGCTATGATGAAGAATCGATGGACTCTGAATCTTCCTCAGTGGCGTCGTTTCGGATGGACAGAACCCCAGCTACTCCTGATGAAGACATGGCCGATGTAAGACCTTGTGTTCACAAACGAATGTAATTATTGTAAACATTAGCAAAACCCTGAGATATTAATCCTTAAAATTATAATTCTTTTTCCATGTGTGTCAAACCAGGGGCTCGCAAATGAGGAATCTGAGTTACGTTTTCGCCAGCTGACCAGGGAATACCAGGCCCTTCAACGAGCCTACGCCCTGCTGCAGGAGCAGAAGGGAGGCATCCTGGATGCAGAGATGGAGGCCAAGGTACCACATACTGCACCTGATGGCCATGTTCACTTTACTAGGAGAGTAATCATTGACCAGATTTATAATGTAATTGATCTAATTCTGTGTTTAGTCTTTGTGAAAAGGCAAAACACCATCTCTTCAATTTCTAAAGGAACATATCCATTTTTTCATTGCTTTTCGTTTGCAATAGTTATATTTATTTTCATGTTCAAAATGAAGAAATATATCAAAAAGTGTGAAAGAAAACAGAAACCCTTTAGAACAAGTCTGACAGAATGAACACATTTTATGAACAGAGGAAACAAAAACTAAAACAAATAAAACTATTTTCTTGGAAAAATGAATTTACCATTTAAAAGAGTTTGGCTTTGCTAATGTCTCAGGCTCAGGAGCAACTGCAATCAGACGTGATGCGGTATAAAGCCAAGATAGAGGACCTGGAGAAGGAGCTAACCTTGAAGGGACAGGTGAGAGTAACTTAATTAATGTTACTGGCGTTTGTGCATTTGCCTTGCAGCAAAGTCTTCCTTTTTAATACTGACTTCATAAAAAAGTGCATCATATCACGCTTTAAGCTTTGTGACTGAAGCCAAGTTATAGTGAGTTGGACCATAGAGTAATTTCTCCTGGCAGTTATCTTTTTATTTTAAAAATGTAAGTAAAGACAAAAGCGGCCTTCATACCAAAAAGGACAAGTAGGGATCTCACTCTCAGAATATTCTTCGTCAGTTTCCAGAATTGCACGAGCTTGCAGCTTGAACATGCAGTTTTTTTGTTTGTGTCCAGCTGGAAGATGAACTTCCACCCAGTCTGGTCACCTTTTCCACACTTTCATCCGGGGTCACCTGTATTTAGCCACACCTACTTTCCAAACGCCTCTGACCAGTTTTCCTCTCTCTAATATTGAATACTTTCACCATGAGGATTGTATGTTTAGGATGATGTACAGAGAAATAGATATATTTTTGGTTTTATTGGACCAACGCATCTTCATTCTGTATGTTTTTTTAAGGTTTTATTGGCACCAGTGGCATTTATTTGATTGTGAGTTGACAGGAAAGTGGGCAATGAGAAAAGCGGAAAGACATGCAGCAAAGATCACCAGGCTGGGAATTGGACTTGCGACAGCAGGCGTTAGTCGAGGCCTTAAGTAAGGTTTTGTCGAGGCTACAAAAAAAAACTGACTTTCTTCTGGCCACTGGCATTATGGCTGCATTTGTGTTGATTGAAACAGATTAATTTACCATCTTCAGATCTTTGTAACGTTTCCAGAATTACCTTGGGCCCTTTGGCGGCTTCTTCACAGCTCACCTGGAAAGTATCTACAGTGTTTCACTTTTTCCATGTTTTGTCATGGAAAAAAATATGTGACCCCAGCCCGAGGTCAAGAGAGCGCCAGAGCAGTTTTTCACCCAGGATGTCTCTGCTGCTTTCATCTTTTCATCTATCCTCTATTCCTGCAAGACATCCGACTGAAGCCTTTCAACCCAATTGCCCGGTTTAGACTTGACGAAGTGTCCTCACTGGCTCTGTGATTTCATGCTTGGTGTTTGACCTCTGATCTGCAGTGTCAACTGCAGGAGCTTAAATAGACAGATGTGTCTCTTTGCAAATCAAGAGACACAATTAATTAACTAATTAATTGTTAATACAATTAATATGTTTGTAAAATACTCCAAAAAACAAATAAAAAATCCTACATTGTCATGATGAGGTATTTGTGTGTAGAATTTTAAGGAAACAGGTTAACTTAATACAGTTTGGATTATGGCTGAAACACCATGGAAAAAGTGAAACACTAAACATTTTATGGATGCAATAAACTGAATGACTTCCTTTCACATCCTGTCAGGTAAGTTGGACGAGCATGACTCGGCAGGCTCTTATTTGATAATGGAATCCAACATGCCTATGCAGGAAATGTATCTTATGAGATATTGTTTTGCAAGCCAACTCTGGCTTAAACAATAAGCCACAGTTGGCTTATTAAACTTCTTATCTACTTTACCCATGATCTGTTCCTCGGTCTAAGGCTCCTCTACCAAACCTCTGAGGGCCCCACAGACACATAGGTGGCCCCGACTGATCAGGGGATCTTTGAAGTATCAGAGTGAAGGAAGCTGATACATTTCTTCATTTACTAGCTATTTACTTTAAAACTGTAACAAAGACTTTAAAAAAAAGACTTGGAAAATTTTGAAACAATTAAAACTTGCCCAGTTCTTCTTGAAACACTAATAAACTACAACAACAAAAAAATTAAAGACTTCTTTCCATGTGGCCATAAAAGAGCAGCCTTGGAAAATCATCAACTATTTCAGATTTTAGTCCTGCAGAGGGGCAGTTAAACAGAACGCCTTGAAAACCTTCCAAAGGTTTGAATAATGAACTTACAGTAAACATGGTGAGACTCAATGTGATTTCTCTACTTCATATTGGAGTTAAGATACACAAACAGCTGGAAGGAACTATGTTTCAACATCTGTCTTTTTGGTTTGATTTGAGCTTTTTAGTTTGTAAAAAGCAGCAATACTGTCAAAGGCACAGGGTTTTCTATTCCTTTACCGTTTATCTTTTTGTTCTGGCTAAAAAATCCAACTTTGCAAGGCAGTTTTTACCTCCTTTAACCACAGTTATGTCTATTTGTTTTAGGACTCCAAATGGGTTGAGGAGAAGCAACTCTTCTTACGAAGAAATCAGGAGTTGCTGGAAAAGGTAGGACTTAAACGTTTTTTATGCTCTAAAAACAACATTTAGCATTTTTCTTGCTTTCAGTTCTTACTGCGAAATACATTTTAACTCATAATATTGAATTTGTAATGTAACTATGTGAAGAACTGTTGTGACTTTGTTGGTCTTTAATTGGTAAACTTGACTTTTTATAGGTGGAGAAGTTGGAGTCGGAATGCAGTCGACTGCAGGAGGAGCTTCAGGACTCCAGAGATCAAAACGAGCTCTTGGAGTTCAGGATACTGGAACTGGAAGTGAGTCAATTCGTTTTTCCAGATGGAGCTTTTTCCCACATTAACATGTCTAACCTTCCCAGAGGTTAGCCTGAAGGATGTTACACATTTATTACCCCATAAATAAATCTTCCAAGCTCAAATTGGGGAAATCTGTCAGTCGCATGAAATGTTTGAGCCACGATGTGAACACAACTCAAAATACTGCACTGCTTTCTGGAGTGCATCCGAAAAGTTCTGCACATGAGGCTGTTGTGGTCAAACTTACCTACTTACTTTTCTCTGAAGTCTGGTGAGCAAATCTAACAAACACATTTTTTGTGCTGCAGACAATTTAGTTGATTTTCATACAATTGACCACAGAGTTATATTTTGCCACTAACAGGAAAAACAGTAATTTACAGACACTCAATTTGTTGGATTGAGTATAATATGTCAGGTAATACAGCTCACATATTACCTGTCAGCTGTAATATTTTATGGATGCAATAAACTGAATGACTTCCTTTCACTTTTCCTTTTGTAGTACATTTTGTAGGTCAGACAAAAAAAAAAAAACGCAATAGTTTTTTTTTTTGCTTGTTTATGTGGACTTCAACATGTGAGGTTTTGTGATTGCAGGTAAAACTTGAGCAACTTTACTTTGTTTCTTAGCTACAAAATACAATCCAAAATTATTTGTTGAAGATGTGAGATTTCCAGTAACAAAGGAATTAAAAGTTGCGTTTAATTTTTTACGTTTGGAAGCTCATTTCCTGCCACATTCCCAGAAAAGCCTTTTTTAAACTTTTCTCTGACATTCGGAAAAAATATTGTTTACTTATTTTAGCATAATTTAATGCGTTGATGTTTGTGGTTGTATGATAAGAAATGTGGTTTAGTCCCACATTAAAATGTGTGTTTTGTTGGTAGGAGCGGGAAAGGAGGTCTCCACCTTTTAACCATTTGAGAATGCACCCGTTCTCCGAGGGAGTCAGCGCTCTGCAGATCTACTGTATGAAGGAAGGAGTCAAGGTGCTTGTTAAGAAGAACTTGTGTGACCAAAAAGGATAAAGATTTATTACAAATTGAACATATTTTTGCATTCCTGTCATTGATTCTGCTTTTCTTCACAGGATGTGTGCATACCAGATCTCATTAAACTGCTAGACATTCTTGGAGACAATGGGGTAATTTATAATTAATTCAGCTGTTTTGCATGCATTCCTAAAGCAAGATGTTTACCACAATCTTTCCTTTTTTATGAGCAGAACTTGAGGAATGAGGAGCAAGTGGCAATAATTCAGGCCAGTACTGTTTTGTCACTGGCAGAAAAGGTAAAAAAAGCAACTTTATCTTGATTGAGAAGCAACTTCCTTTACATTCTGTGCTTCCTGTTAAACTGACTTAAATTTGGATGAATGTCGCCCTCTAGTGGATCCAGCAGATAGAAGGGACAGAAGCGGCACTGCATCAAAAAATGATGGACCTGGAGATTGAAATGGTGGGTCATGGAAAATTGCTAAGCTAAATTCTTTTAAGATTTTTACGAAAAATAATCAATTATAATCATAACTATCTTATCTAATAATGCAATTCAGCAACATGAAATGAACACATTTAAAACATCATCAAATGTTTTATTATTCATTGATTTTTAGATTTAAACCAAATTTATTAAGCTGTGTGATCATTTTAGATGTTTAGAACTTAATTTATATGAACAACTTCCTCTGTGTTACAGGAAATGTTCTGCAAACAGAAAGGTTATCTGGAAGAAGAGCTGGACTACAGGAAGCAGGCCCTGGATCAGGCCTACATGGTAAATAATCTGACACTTTGCTGTGGAAAAGATTGAAATTGCTGCTGTTTTCTTCCCAGACTTTGCATACAGACAGACGTTTCTGTATTATTTTAGGGTAACTTTAATCTAAACTTCACTAATAATTAATCATTTTTGAATAAATATAGCTTTCACCAATTTCCACTACATGGAATAATTTGGAGCTGGATTTATGTCTTCTTTCTAGTTTGGTTAAATAATAAAAAGCATGGAATGAAATATGAAAACATATTCTGCTCCCACATTCAAACGTGTTTCCATTCATTTTCATTCTCCATTCATCTGTTCATTTGGCTTGTTTTGAATCATTTTGTTACGTAAACACTTTGTTGTTAAATGAAGATGAGATTTGAGTATTTTAGATATGATTTGTAGTCTTGTGATGATTAACTGTTGACATTTTCTAATTTTTAACAGCAAATCCAGGAGTTGGAAGCGACGCTTTACAACTCCCTGCAGCAGGACAAGGTTGGTTTTACATTATGTTGCATCACATTTTTTAAATTTTTTTTTTAAGTGTAAAAATTTTGAAAGTGATGCACATCAAGGCATGCAGCACTAAATACGGTAACTAATTTAATCTGAGTGCATACTTGTTATCATCCCTCTCTTATCAGTGTGCAAAATCAAAGATGTTCAAATGGTTTTCTTGTGCAGTTCCATGAAAATAAATGCTATCCTTATAGAAACTTTTCATCGCTTCAATTAATCCCAAGAAAAAAATTCTTTGAGGTTTGATCCCTGCAAGGCAAATGGATGTTCTTAGAATCTTGTGATTCCTTGAAGCTCCTTTTGATTGAACAGAACCTCATTTAGCATAAACAGCCAAGTTTATGCTCATTGTCATGTCTGCCGTCTCTTTTTCTTCAGGTGATAAAGTACGGTGAGCCCCTGAACGAGCTTCAGAAAGACGAGCTGAGGATGGCGGTGGAAAAGTTGAGGAGGCAGATGCTGAGGAAGAGTCGAGAGTATGACTGCCAGATCCTCCAGGAGAGGATGGAGCTGCTGCACCAGGCCCACCAGGTTCCTCTAGATTCATACATATTACTGAGAAACTTCGAAGGGAGAGGTTTTTTAGGTCTGTGGTTTGATTTGTATCTCTGCTCTCTCTAACAAACCACAGAGAATTCGAGATCTTGAAGACAAGACAGAAATCCAGAGAAGGCAAATTAAAGATCTGGAAGAAAAGGTAATTACTGATATTTAAAATCAGTAAATATGTAACGGTTGCTAACAAATCACAATCTGACAAAAAGATGAGTCATTTTAGTTCCCTTATCAGACAGTCCCACTCAAAGTGAAAATGTTCCACAGACATTGACATCTAGTGGTCAAGCTGGGTATAACACCCGTCACAAACGACTTCCTGTCAGTTTGAATTATTGGCAGATCTGATGACACAACGTGATATAGACTATTCTCAATCTGAGATTGAAATGTTGGACTTCTTCTGTTTTTATGCAGCACAAACTCTGCAAATCAGTCACATAACTGATAAATTTCCATTCAGCTTACTGCTGGAGTCAACATGTGTGACTTCTCACTGGTTCCAGTCCTTTAAACCTCAGTCAGTCAAAATTATAAAAAGTCATTTCATTTCACTTAAGTTAAATTATTAAAGAGTAACACATATTAAGCATTTCTGTTGAAATTTGAACATCAACACTAAAAACAACGTTATTAGGGCAAGTAAACAAATTAATATCTATCCAACAACTGAAAGTGACCGAACTTTTCCACTGAGTCTAAACATGCCTGAAGTGTCTCATCATTTTCCCAAAGAGAGGTTGGATGACCTAAAGCAAGAATCCAATGCAGCAGACTGGAGAAATAAATGGAGGAAGGAATAAGTGGTCACAGGTGCAGGAGCTGCACTGAGGAATGCAGGGAGCTGCTGAGGAGAAGAACTCCTAAAGCAAATGACTGAAAAGTCCAGGAAAACAATCTGAAAAAACCTTAAGGAGAGACAATTCCCAACAGCCTTAGTGCTCCTTTATAACACACCTCTTAATCCTGGCTTTTGTTCTAATCTGTACCTGTTTGGTTATAAACTTCATAAAAGCATTTAAGGCCTAATTTAAAGATATTGTTTGATCACACAGTAAAATATTTTTTTTAATTAAGTTTACTTTGATAATACTGGTGGGTATATCTGTCTTGTATATATGAGAAACCAGCATTTGCAAAAATTTATAAATTTGTAAATAAACTCAACATGGTCTCACACACACACACACCACACACACACACACTAACACATGCACGCAAACGCACACAGAAAAACCCCCCAGTAAAATATAATAGTCATAATAGTGACTGTTAAATGAAAACAATGTTCACCTCTGAGTATAAAAAGGATGTCATACAGTCAAACAAATAATATTAATAATATGCAGATATATGGTTTTATAAATTAACCTCAGTATATTTTATCTCTGGTACTAACATGTGTTAAGTGTTCCTCTCATCCTCAAACTTTTTCTCTCTCTCTCTCTGTCTCTCTTTTGTTCTTTCTTTCTGCAGTTTCTCTTTCTCTTCCTGTTCTTTTCTCTTGCCTTTATCCTTTGGCCTTGAAGTCTTTGGCGTGCTGTAGCTGAGGTGAGTCCTGCTCTCTTTGCATTCTGTTTTCTCAATATTTCTCAAACCTGTCTGTGTGATGGGAACCTTGAACAGCAGCTTGTGTCTTCAGCTCTGCAGCCACAGGAAAATAATGACATCATTCAGTCAGAATAGGTTTCTGAAGCAACAAACCCACTTAGGAAAATGCACTTCAAAAAATCAAAAACATCATCTGAATAATGTTTTTATTTTGTTTAAATATGCTTTATCTGTTATAGATGCTTATGATGATAATAATAATGATGACATTAATTACTTATAAATACATTTTATCACTTTGTCAGTACCGCAGCACATATCACAACATCATATATTTCATCTGTATTTCTGAATTTGGTTAGTTTATATTTGCTGTATATCTGAGCATCAACATAAAACTGTTCATCATGACCCATAATGAGATTAAAACTGCTTTGACATAAAATCTTAAGACATTTTTTTTGTCACCAGTTTTCACTTTGTCATCTTCCTGTACTCAAAATTAGAAGAAGATGGGAGTTATTACATAGCAACCTTGAAGCTGAAGGTGTGAGCAGCAGGAGTTAACCTGATGTTCCAAGGCTAGATGCACATTTTACGTTTGAATAGGATCCATTTTGTTACCTTAGCTGCTACCAAAATGAACTCAGACATGAAACAGTCACAACCTATTTTTCCTGTTCATATCATGGGAACTGCTTGTGTAATTTTGGATCATTTTCATCTTCATGTTGTTGGTTCCTTTAAGGTGCTGCACTTTGATTTGACTGGTTCCTAATTAGTTTGAAGAACAATTACTGTAATGTTGAAGAGTATTTATATTTAGGATGGTGTTGATGGTTAGTTCAGACGGTACAGAGGATAGAAATAAGATTGTATCTATTTTTCCAGCTGAACCAAAACAATGATGCATTACTGTAAATGTCTGAAGTAAATCCTCACAATAAACTAAAGTTAGTTATTAGACTTTTACAACCTTTGCCTTTCATCCTGTAGTGAGCTTGACAGACGGAACCAAATTAAAAAATTCTCCTAAAAGTCAAACAAATTTTAAAAAAATATTTGTTGTATATGTTCTTTCTTTTAAAAAAATGAACATCTGAACTCCTGTTTTCACTTGTTTCATTCTCCAGGTTGTGTGTCGGCTCGGAGATCTTCTTTGGGACTACAGTGTTGTTTATGTGTTGGACAAGCTGAAAACATTGTGCCGTCGTAACATCAGTGATTCCAGATGTTGGTGGATTAAGCCAGTGCACACGTCACACATTTCTTTTATGTTTCGTTTTTTTTCCAAATGAAGTTGAGATCTTCAGGGTTCTGTCCAGGACTGTTTATGTTTTTAGCAAAGTTTGGACATTAACCATCTCCCCAAGTTTCTGAAAAGACAGTCAAAGGCTTGCAATGATATCTACACACACATACTGACATACTGCACAGTTTCTACATACATGCATGCATATGTAAATGCGGACACACACACACACACACACACACACACACACACCCACACACACACACACACACCCACACACACACACACACCCCCCCCCCCCCACACACACACATGATTTGTCAGTTGAAAACCAAAGCCTGGAAGATGTTCTCTCTGCCATGCAGGGTTATGACGTGTCCACAGCCACAACGGGAACATAAACAGACAAAAAACTCAAACAATGAAGAATACAAACCACAGCCTTCCCCTTTTTTCCTTCTCTTTCATCTGCTGCCCAAACCTGTAAGAACGTTCTCTTGGGATGCAAGTCATCGATGAGTAGAAGTGAGCCAACTCAGGGCCCATAAGTGCAGAAGCAGTGGGAGCGGTTCTGACCTCAGGCCAGATTACAATAAGGAACATTTGGGACACGCTGCCTCACCTTCTGGCCTGCCGTCGCTGCTCTCAGAATGGTGCTGACACAGACTGCTCACACTCTCCAGAAGGTGACTGACGAGGCCGTTCTGCAGACAGTGGCGTGTACAGACTCTGTAGAGGAGTCACGAACACTCAGGTTCATCACTGGAAAAAAGGTCAGGAAAGGTAAAAACCAGAAAGAGATGACAGCCTCTGATGCAGCTCCTCTCAGCATAGATTTCCAGGAGGAAAGCTGCACATTATGGAACTGCTTCTTAGCATTTTTTTAAAAGCCAGAAGACTGAAAAGATGCAACTCTCTGGATTTCTTTTTTTACTGTTCCAACCACTTAAACAGTTCCGAAGATCCCCAAAAAACCTGTAATGTATATATAGATATATATATGCTGTTGATATGTACATGGGTTTTAATTATTTTATGTAGTCTCCCTTATCATTTTTTGTGATAAGCTGTACTTTTTTTTTACTCTCTAATGAAGCTTCAACCGTTAATGTACTTGGCAGTTTAGAAATGACTTACAAAGAGTATAAACTGCTCTGGTTTATTGTGGTGATGGCTGCAAAGATGAATTTCATGCCCTGTAGAGTTATAACTGAAAAGCTGAATGAATGTGGATAAAAAGAAAAAACAAATTGATCTTTTTTCCTTCCCCTTTTCTACACTGTCCTGCTCACACATTTTACTGGATGAATCAGGTCAGTTTTCCCCTTCGTCATGTCGTACCATCATAACCATCACACCTATGAGTCGTATTCCCTTTCATATTTAATTGGGGTGTAAAAATACAACCAGCTCAGGAGACAATATGAAATTTTAAAGTTTGTAAAAACACTGAAAAACCCTTTTTTTTGTATTATAAAAAGAGGTAAAATTTCACCATTTTCAGATTGTTCAGGAATCTGAAAATGTTGTTGAACATTTTAGTCCTGGTTTGACTTCATGTATTGTGGTTTTTGTGCGAGTCTAATTCTAATTCTGTCACAAACAGGATTGGGAATTGTCCCTTTTTGTCTTTTCTCAAATGAAATCTGGAACTGTGGGTTATGTTAAAGTATAATTCAACTTCCGTCAGCCTGAGTTAGTGGTGCCAAATCCTCCTTTGACATCATACATTGATCATGGGCGCTGTGTGTTCAGGCAGCCTGCAGACCCAAAGGGGTGTGGCTTGAAACTCTGAGCAATGTGCTGGAAGAATGAGGGATTTCCAATGGGAAAAACCTGAAAGGCCTGATTTTATGTTAGATATTCGTGAAACTCTTTCAAATTCTTTCGGTGCATGAAATACACCGGATGTTTCCGGTTCAGTATTTACAGATTACTGTGAATACTTAAAAATCTATTTGTGGATTTTTCTGTGCAGCATAACTTCGAATTATTTGTGGAAAATCCATTCCTTCCCCAATTTCTTTCAAAGAGCATGTCTAAATTTTTCTGAGACAATGCAGCTTGTCTCAGATTAATACGACTTGATACATTATCAAAGCAGCCAATCCAGGTGCACAATTTCCCTGGTGCTGATTGGCTGTAACCCCAAAAGCAGCGATAAGGCAGAGTAGATATCAGCGTCTCCAGCAATGCTAAGACAGTTTCCACTAAGTATGTTAAAGCATATTTAATAGTTCAAATGGTATTTGGACTATTAAAATAGGCAGTTAAAAAAGTTTTTGCAAAGTCTGTATTAATTGAATCCAAAATTAAATCAATTTGAATTTTGATTTAATTAATTGAATCAAAGTACAAAATGGCGAAGGGATGAAATGACCAACATTGTTTGTTTTTATTTACCAAAAGTCTGTTGCATCTCTAAGCCATAAGGGGCGCTGTTTACCCAACTCACTGTTTAAAGTTGTAAATATTTTAAGACCACTTTACAATATTATGCATCAAATTTAATTTAATCAAATTCAAACTTAGTTCTTATTTATTCACTATCTTAAAATTTTTTATCTAATTTAAATGCCTTTTTTTTTAAATGAAAAAAGTCTAACACTCCCCAGCCTAAGAATACTGCAAGTTTTCTTGCTTCTTGTTATACTAACCAAAAGTTCTTTGATACTAACAACTTTCTTGAACTAAACCCAAATAGCCATGCAGAGGTCTGGTTCTGCAGGGTGAAACAAGAGAAAGTGAATGCAACATTACACCAACTCCCCTGAAGCTAACTCTGCCCAGAGGCTGAAATATTCACTGGCTAGCAGGTTCCTGCCCTCCGTGTTCCTGAGCGGGACTAAAGGAATCTGCCTTCATTCGACCTCTGGCTCCTTTCACAGGCTACGTTTCACACTGGGGTCCCATTACAATGCAGAGCAGCAACTACAGCCACTCCACTCACTTCAAGGAAATTTGTTGTGCTAACTCTGCTGGCATTCTCCCTTTTCTACTCATAAATGTTATTTATTTTTCTTTACTACATCACACTTTATATATTTTACATTTTTTATGTTTTTGTCTCTTGTGTGTCTCCCAACAATTATGAAAACCCTTAATATTTTCAGAAAATATCAGTCAAATACACTTATAGACTTATAATATACCTAAAACTTGTTTCATTATTTTATGCTGAAAGTGAGCATTTTAAATACTATTATGTCTTTATGCAATATTTGACATATTAGCAGATGAATTCTGTTTGATCTACAGTTTCTTGCAAATGCATTGATACCCTTTGAGTTCATGTTACATTAAAAAAAAAATCTATTTCACTTTTAGTGAATTTTAATAGATCAGCACCAGTGAAGCTGAACTGTGAATTAGAAGGGAAATTACACACATTTTTAAAATATTTTTTGCACATAAACATAAAGAAACCTTGTGTTTAGATCCCACCATCTTGCCAGTTTCTCTGAAGGAAATAATTCTCACAGCAAACTTCCAAAACTCTTCACCACCACCGGTTCTCCAGATCTTCCTAACTAATTGTCTCCTTTCCCAGGTGACTTTGCAGTTGAGTCATGCTCATCGTTCATAGGCCTGAACGATGCTCCATGTTCATGTCATTGCCACAGCCAGTGGTCATTGTTTTATGTTTCTCTACCAGAATAAAAATAATTTTAAAAAATGCATCAAGGTTTGGGGTTCTGAAAAAATGCAGAAATGTTCAAAGGGTATAAATACTTTTGCAAGGCATTTTATAGCTGCTGCAGATTAAGCTTGGCTAAGATGTGATGAAAATTATCATCCTAAAATAATGCCTCAAGTTTTTTTTTTTTTTTTTTTTTTTTCCGTAGAAATCATTTTTGGCCAAAAATGACATATTTACAAAAATTGTTTTTTATAATATTGTCTTCAAAAGCACACATATGTTATTTATTTCCTTTGCAATAATATATAAAATATATTTTATTTAATAAATTAGACTTAGACGTTTTTAATTCTACATGTTGTATAGGTTGGAAAAAAGTTTGATGACTTTTTTCCATTTAGTCATAACAGTTTCTGTGATTTTATTCAGAAATATTTTTTTTCACATCACTTTATTGTTGTCATTATTGCCCTTTAACTGCCATCATCATTGTGCCCCACTTTACAGAGTTCTGCTTTGTTCATCTTTGAAAGGTCCAGATTCTTTCCATCTTCTGCTTCACTGATATTTGAAAGACAAATATATCATGTGTCCACTCATCCTGTTGCCTTTTTACACAAATAATATTTCTTTGATACGCTTCTTTTACTGCAGCTCTGTCACACAAAGGCTCAATGTTTAACTGTTTTAACACCTGTGGTCCATTGTAGAAATACATAAATTGTGATCTGGGGGCCTCCTTTGTCAAACAAGCTCTAAATGGCCGAGTGGTTCCAGAGTAACAGTCTGTCTTTCCACTTACTGTCCTTGCCAGCCAAGCAAGACAAGAACAGGAAGTTTGAAACTGGTTTTGTGCTGGAGCTTTCTCCTGCCAAAGGATGTTTGTCATGAAAAAATTACATCATTCTGTCTTTGCATCATTTCACCACTCATGCAGAGGGCAACACGTGGACTAACTGAACAACTGCCTTCTACAACTAGTTCAAAAAGGGAAATAAAGTTTGAAGTGAAACTCGTGTGTGAAGTATCATTTTTCTCTGCGTAGTTTTCCTCAGAACATAATTATTACTGTTTATGTATCTGCTTTTGGGCTGCACAGAAACAAAGTGTTTCACATTGAGGAGTTTCTGCTTCATGGTACTCCTCCGTCCCAAAACGTTGGGAAAACATACATTTGTAGACGGACCATGCAAATGACTTCCAGTAGGAGTCTTTGTTAGTCTTTGTTAGGGTCTACTTCAGTGTGAGTGGGGGTTCAGACTCAAATTACATCATGCACATCCTGGGAGGCAATTTAACTTAATTTGAGGAGCAGCTGGTCAGGAGCCAAACCATCCCAGGCGGAGGCAGCAGCCCAGCCGCAGTTCAGCCGCCGGACGCAGCCCTGGTGTGATACGATTTGCACCGAAGGAAGAGTCAAGACCAGATGAAGGATTCAGTCGTAAAGCAACATGAGTGTTTTTGTTTTAGCATAACACATTGATATTGAATTTCTTGTTTTTTTGCCCTGTAAAATATGAGCAAAGGAAGGGAAATATGCAAAAATAAATAAATAAAAAAATAGTGTTTTTATGCCTTTTATTTTTATAAGAATAAAGATCAGAATTTCTGCAGACACGTTAACATGACATGTTCTTTAGTTTTATTTTAA